TTATGTTAATACAAAAAAAAGAGATAGTATAGATGGGGATTGTTAATTCAAAAGTATATATGAGGATTACAATATTCAGTATTTATTTTGCAGAGTTTGTGAGGACATGAAAGAAAGTTACCTTTGGAATGATATCACCATATAATGTTTAAGTTTTTGAAATTCAAGACAAAATAAAACAACATACTTTTGTTTCTAATACCGATTTCTCTGCTAAAATATAGTAATTTACAATTTTTTTTGTGCCAGGGGAAGGAAACATAGGGGGAAAGTATTAAGCATATAAATCAATTACGGGGTGTTAAGTCATTAAGGGAAGACATTGAATCATTGTTATGAATGACAATATCATTTGACTTTTTCTTAAGTTTCAATCTTGTGCACAAGAAACGTAACTTACCTTTGTGTAACTATTTACTTATTTCAAACATATCCTTTTGATGTTTTTTTCCCTATTTACCATGATAACATTGATAAGTAGAAGAATGAATGCTTTTATAAGTTGAATTATTCTCATTTTAATGATATTTCTCTGTTACAATCTAACTTTGTCAACATTATCATAAAAAAAAACACACATGGTGAACTATAAGATGTAAAGATCATATTATTAACAAATCAATTGAATAGTTTTCATTAGTGACTTTTAAAAATTTCTAAGTGGTAAAATTTGAAGTTTGAATAATTTAAATAACAAATCATTTGTAAAAATAAAATTGGTTGAGTTACAAAACATTTACAATTGTTGCAATTTATTAATAATCAAGGTTATTTTAGACTAACTACACTTAATTAACTTAATATTGGAAATCAATTTCTTAACGCTCAATGAAATTGAAGCATAAAGGTCACATGGGGAAAAAGAAAGTTTGTTAATGCAACTACGAGAAAAAGGAAATTCGTTAAATGCGTTGATTTTCTATTATTCTCATATTCTCTCTCTTTCTGATCCTCCCTTTTACTCCCTGACTTCTTCCGTTCTTCCTCATTTATTTTCTTCTTCCTTTTCCTTTTTTTTTCCATCCTCTCTCTCTTTCTCATGTTCTTCTCTTCTAATCATTTTTCTTCTTCATTTATCATCATCATTATTCTTCAATCCATTTTTTCTTCAAATCAATTTGGATATCTAACGAGAAAAATATGAAGACCAAATCTATGTGTAAAATGTTGGATTTTAGTTATGGTAATTTTTCATTAAATGGGAAATTTTTTATTATGCTTAAAGTAATTTTTGAATGGCTAGATGTGAAGCATATCTATGGGATAACAACTCCAGAAGAGAAGGTCAAGCTAGAAATGCTTTTAATTATAAAATATGATCGATAACCGCTTTAGTTCACTACATTAACCAATATGAAGAGTTATTACAATACAGAGCTATTCTGACTTCAACCATTGAAATTCCAGACAAAATCAACCATTATGTATTAGACTTAACTCCTGGTGCAAAATGTTAAATAATGTTCATTTATGCATATAACTATTCTGTAAGTATATCCTGTTACTAATGTTTTAATATTTTAATCTTATACTATATTGAAAGAGAAGAAAAAGAACATCTAAATATGATTATTTGAGTCTATAAATGCATATAAGGCCATGTACATATGAAGGGTGAAAGCTTAAATGAAACTTGCATTTGAAATGTAGAACTTGTAGATTGCTTTCATGAAGTGCCTAGGAGAAAATAGTTATGAATATAATGAATGACAAACATAGTGTTTTGGATTCTTCCAAATGACTTTTTTAATATTGTAATTGGATTTTCTAAGTTTAAAATTATTACATCATTCATTATGTTTAGCTATATTTCCATTGTCTTTGAAATTAATACTTGGATTAATATATCATGCATTAAGCATATTGTTAGTCTATATTTGTGATCTTTTGAATGTCTATGATCAATAATACAATTTTACAGCTGAAAAATTAAATACGATCAAAGAAAAATCACAATGCTCATTATATCAACCAAACGGAACACATGGAATAACACATACATTTTACTAGTTATTCATAAAAGATTAAAATTGTTCTGGTATTCTGTAAGGAAAAAATACTTTACATCATAATAATTTTTTCAGTAATACTATTGAACAAAATCAAATTATCGAACACTACTAACTTATTTTTTATTGATCATTAGTTTATAAACGAATATTTTACCATGATGACCTATATTTTAATTTTTTTCCAAAATAACTCACATTTTAGAAAAACTCCCAATCTACCCTACTTTTAAAAAAAAGGACGCAACACTGGTGCTAAGTGAATTGACACCTTCACATATAGTTTAAGAGGCGGCGCCAATTGGATTGGTGCCTGCACTTAGTGTTGCCAACCCAAATGATGCCTATGTGTTAACTTTCAAACAAGGTGCCAATTCAATTGACACCCGTGTATGTTGTGTTTTTTTAGTATAAATAGAGGTGTCTCCTACCTTTTCAACTCCACACCTCTTTTCATAATATTATTTTCTTTTCTTCATTAGCTCTATCATGATTATTAAAGAAGATTGACATGTCTGTTATTCGGAAATGAATCCTCTGATGAAAATGCATTTTTGGAACAACCAAAGTTTCAATCATCTTGAAAAGAGTTTGAAAAGTTGGTTAGACGAAGAGATTAATGATGAATAAAGAATTAGAAGAATCGAGAGACTTGTTTCATACATCTCACTTGTAAATGATAATGATGTTATGCAGTATATGTGGGTGCGAGTTAAAGATGGCAATGATCTTATGGATATGATGTCTGCATCAAATGATATTGTTTTTATTATTGTTATCTTAGACACGTTGTGGTGTTATATCGTAAGTCTTATATTTTGTTGTTTCTGTTGTTGTTTTTAAGCGTGTTTAAGTTTTTGTGATGTTTGATATGTTAATTTTATTGTAACAAAAAATTATTATATATGTATATATTAGATACCAAGGCTACATAAAATGAAAGGAAAAAATAAATTATGATGTAGAGGTTGCTCTGATATTGGGACAATTTCTTTAATTGTGTCCAGGCTGACGGCATATACTACATAATATTATCATTTTATCAACTATATCTATTTCTGTTCTAATACATATGTTGTTGGGTGACCTTTTTTCTTCCTTCACATCTCATCGTTGTGCTAAACTATGTCCTATTGATATGTATGCAAGTATTCCTCCACTGCTACCACCGAGAAGTTGTCGTTGTAAACATTCATAATGTTAGTGGCCTTGTAAGCCTCGAATATATGTTTGTAAGCGTCCTAGCGAGTATATGCACATGTCACAATGACATGACAACAAAGAATGCAGAAGTCCTAAAACATGCCACAAGTCGCACTAACTTCTATTTAGTTTGACAACATAGGATAAATTTGGCCTTCACTCATTGTGGTCCATTATTTCATGTACACTAAAAGTGTGTCTATGACACTTAAAGATTGTAACTGCATGTGTGCTAGCTTTGATAGTTTCCTATTTCATCACTTTCATTGAATAATTGCCCCGACCTTAACACTACATCCATCTTTTGCCCCGCTGTTATTGGTAGATTTCCAAGTCACTTTCACACAAGAAGCTTCAACATATAATCCCCTATAAAATTATCAGACATGTTACTCATAACCTCTACCTAACAAAATTACTGACCCATAAATAGACAAACTCACGACCTTAACATGCCAAACACCCAACCACAATACCAAGAACATACCACACACCATCGTCAACAAGATGGTCATTATCAAGACACCTAACATCCATATGCCCCCAACACATCATCCTATCATAACCGACATAGCCAAAACACCTAGCAATCATATAATACCAACCATTCCTCCTACCATAGCCAACAAGCCTAAACATCACAAAACCGAAACATGCAATATGGCTATCAAACATCGCAACAACCATTTCAATATTTCTCCAACGAATTATTCACACCAATGTCGCCCTTCAATCGTCTCGGCTGCACACCAATAACTCAAACACACCCCAATTGCTCTGGCATGGGTCACAAACTCAGTCATGGCAGTGCGTCATTCCATACACAAGACTTCTTAGAAATGTAAGAACTTATTAGAGAATCTGGTGATGGTGATGTTCCGGAGACCTCAAATTCTAAAACACATGGGGTGAATCAACAACGTGTGCGAGGGAAACGAGTTAGGGTAGCTAAGGCGTGTGAAACTGGTGGTGTATATGACCAACCCGGTCAATAACATTAGTGTTTTTTTCCGTACGTAAATGTAACCTAAATTTAATATTAATTTTTTTGATTCTGAATTTTATACAAACTGATAATAATTAATAAAAAATACAACATACAATGGTGCCAATTGAATTAGTGTCTCATTTGAAAGCTAACATTTAGGTGCCAATTGGATTGACAACACTAATTACAGGCGCTAATCCAATTGACGCGCCATCTCTTAAATTATAGGTGCAGGCGCCAATTCACTTCTAATTTTTTTATTTGAAAATAGGATAGACATAGATTAAGAATTTTTCTAAAATGTGAATTATTTTGAATTTTTTTTCAAAATGTTGGTTATCTTGGTAAAAAATTCTTTATAAATGAGTACTAATTATAAGTTTATATATGCTAATTCAATTTATTAAAATAAAACTTAATCCAAAGTAGCTAGTCACAATCTTAATTAATGTAAAGAAAAAAATCAATAATTGAGCAACAAGTCACACTTTTCAATCAAGACTTCTTAAAGAATTTGTTTCTTCTAAAATCAACATTATAAATTCAGGTTTCAATTTTTACACCTAGTGAGACAAATTAAGCAATTAGACCGTACCCGCACCATATAACTACCAACAACTAACAAGACTACTAACTTAACCATGGTTAAGTTAACTAACCATGATTCCAAAAATGCCAGTTGGAAACATAGAGCGTTAAATCAAAATAATTAAACTAACGATCAAGCTCACAAAACTGAATGCATGCGAAATCAATATTCACACACACACACGCGCGATCCAAACCCAATCCTGAACTCAATGCTGAGAGACGAAATCGTCGGTTCCAAAAGCGCGAGGCACACCGCCACCACCGCCACCGTATCTAATAAAGTTCTCGTGGCGGTTAAAGCGGACAAGGTGATCTCCAACACCGCGTTAGCATGGGCGCTCACTCACATCGTTCATTCCAGTGACTCGATCACTCTTCTCGCCGTTTATTCTACTGAAAATACTGGTAAATCGAAGACGATGAAATCGTAATCCTGTTTAACTGAATTCAGTTTTAATCATTCATCAAACTGTGTAAACTGTTTTCCATTTGATTACGATTGAATTGATTACGATTGAATTGATTACGATTGAACTGATTAAGCTTGATTTGGATTTTTTAGGAAGACGTTTCTGGAATTTCTCGAGACTTGCCGGAGATTGTTCGAATGGACGCGCGGGAAAGTCGCCGGAGCAGATTTCTGATATCTCTGAGTCTTGTGCTCAGATGGTTTTTCAGTTGCACAATCACATTGAGGTAACTTTGAAATTTACCGCGTTTTTTTATTATTTACCGCGTTAAATAATCACGGTTGTATATGAAACGGTTATCGACTTATCGTACCTGAAGAATTTCCCTGTGAGTTCCGTTTTGGATATGCGCTGTCGTTTTCGTCTCAGTCTCACTAGTCTTTTTGAGGAATTAGATTTTCTACTGTTACAATATGCACAGTCTGATATCAAATCAACGGTTGATAATATTTTAATGTGTCAAATTGAGTTTAAATTTTAAAATGTTCAACAATGTTTAAAAAAATGATTGCAGTAGTAAATACTTTTATAAATTCGGTCTGTATTACGACTCAAAGACTTTCGCAATTTCAATTGGTATTGGTGTTGCAACACGAATTGCGATCGCGGTATGAATTAACCACTACTCATACTACAATTTCTTCTTTAACAAAAAAAAAGATAAACAGCGGTGGGGATCTGGATCCTCTCCAGCTCTTTTGCTGCTGCTGTTCATCCAGCTCGCATCTCAACCATTCATCTACATTTTTATCTCTTTTCAAAACAACAAATTTCCAATCATTTATTTTTTATTAATTTTGAACCATTAGATGAAGGCAGGAGAGACGGCAGAACAGAAAGGGCTGCAGGTGATCTGTTTCCGCGGTGTCGGTATTGTCGTGGCCGTTTTTGCGGTCACGAACGGTTTTTTAAAATCAATTTCAAACAAATGGATAAGATCTTTACAACTTAAAATCTTGAAATCAAATGGTTTAAAGTTGAATACTGATTTTATTCTTTTAAAAAACAATTTTAGACTTAAAAAATGGGATAAAAAAAAAGTGACTATCCACAATGATTGAATGCGTCGAAATTTTAGTGTAGGCCATGTATTATTAATCATATTCAACTCAATAGTTTCATCAGCAACTTTTGGTCTTTTTAATATCATGCATTTTCATTGTTCCAAAAAATATACTAGTATATATAATGCATTTTCTAACGTAAAAGAGTTTAGGAAGTTTCTGATCTGTACTTCCTTAACTGTATTGTATTCGATTCCCATGTGCTTCATTATTTTAGTCCCCATGTGCTTCATTAGTCTAGTCTTTCTTTTTGTAAAATTATTATTAGTTTTTGTCTTGATTATGATGCATCAATAACTACACATGCACGAAGCTTCTACTATAAAATAAGTTACAAGGAGTGATAGTCTTTGTATGTATTCAGTAATTGATGTTTTGACCAATTTTAGGTACTAGTCACCTTGTAACAAAAAATAAATAAATAAATAATACTAATTTATTTTTTTATTCCTTAGTAATCACTTCTCTTATATATTTTAGCCATTTCTCTTTAATTTTCTATTTTTTATTTCACATCACTCTCAATTTCTTTCTCTACTTTATATTGTGAGAGTGAGGGAATAGTAGATAAATCTGTTACAATGATTAAGCGCATTCTATTGGTGCAAGTTATATTTTTTTGTCCTTGTGCTGCCTCCCATTCTATGTAAAGACATACAAGTGTTCCCCCACCGGGCCTTATATTTGTACAGTTACAAACCATTCCACAGGTCATGTCAATACACAGCAAACAATGCTGTGCTTGTAAGTTGGAACTAGTGGAAGAAAACTTGCTTCAACACACTTGAATCTAATGGCAAAAGAACAAATATTAAAATGATAAGGGGGTGGATTAGTCTTCTTTGTAATGTCTTACCTTAAGAATACTTTGGCCGTATCAAGACCTCTTGATTTATGGTGCACGTTTTTTTAAAGATCTTTCTCATGACTTATCTAGATTGAATTGTATGGTTAAGTATGTTTGAAGTTGTTATTTCTAAAATCTTATGATTATGGATGAGAATGTCATGAAGTAATAAATTTCAAATAATACTAACCACTGATCCCTTCATATTTTGAGTGTGGATAATGCTCATAAATTAGGCATGCAGTAACTCATAGTGTTGGAAGTAAACTTTCTCCATTCAAATTCTTACACTATCATATTTTGGTATAGCATTGTATATTTGTTGAAATTGGCTTATGTTGTAGTTTTTATAACTGCAGGTTAGGGTGAAGATTAAGGTTGTCACGGGATCTCCCAGTGGTGCTGTGGCAGCTGAAGCTAGATGGAGTGGTTCCTCTTGGGTCATACTGGACAAGTAATTAAACATCAAAAAGTATTTCTTTTTTCTGAGCTACATTAGTTTGTGTCAAAAGTTAATGCAAATATATTATTTTGCAGCATATTTGCATTATGATTTTTATTAGAGGCTTCAACATATTAGCTATACTTAAGAAACTAATATTACCTTGTTTGAATAACTGCAGCTTGCTAAGGTTAATCATTCAATTGATATAGGCAATTATTTGTTAGTTAATAGGATTTGTTTGATTAACTGCATGACATAACTTTCAATTAGAAATAATAGGTACAACATTTCGGTGCTGCATGCCCTATCAGTGAAATATTTGTTAGTGAAGTCCCTAACGTTACTGAAACAGGAAACTAAAGCAAGAGGTAAAACATTGCATGGATGAACTTAACTGTAGCATTGTGGTGATGAATGGATCACAGCCTAAAGTCCTCAGACTTAATTTAGGAGGACCCTCCGATGAACTCCAAACACCATTTTTCTCTACTTCCTCTTCACCAGTAGAAATTGGAAAGCTAAATAGGCGCAGATTGAAGCATTCCACCCCAGTGGGTAGCCCTGAATTAGCAGGCTCTTCTGTTACAACCAATATTGGATTAGATTCAGTGTCAAGCTCAGACTCAATGACTTCTCCTTTCCTGGTATATAAAGAAAACCCGCTGTATAATGGCCAGGGACCACACAAAAGAACAAGCAAACCAATCAACAAGCCAAAAGGTTTCAACTTCCAGCCACCATTGTACTTTAATTTGGAAAGAGATAGCCCACCCCCTTCAAAGAAACTCCCAACATCATCTGTGGCTAATGATAACGACACTGAAATTTGGATCTCACAGAACCACATTAACAACCAGAAGCTTCAAAGAGCTGAAAACAGAATGAATCAAAGAACTAAATCTCCAAATTCTAAAACTTTACTTGAGACTTTTTTACACTCGGATCAAGAGAAGAGAACAAATGAACTTGAGTTTAACAAAACTCAAAGTGTAAGTTGTGTTACCATCTCAAGCATTCGAGATAGCCCTATTCCGTTGGGTAGAAATTCCTCTATACCTCCCCCCTTGTGCTCACACTGTCAGAATATAGCGCCTGTATTTGGAAACCCTCCTAGACGGTTTTCTTACAGAGAGATAGAAGAAGCTACAGACATGTTCTCAGATTTAAATTTTTTGGCTGAAGGTGGATTTGGTGTGGTTCACAAAGGAATACTGAAAGATGGCCAGGTTGTTGCAGTTAAACAATTAAATTTTAGTGGCTCTCATGCAGATATTGATTTCAGCAGGGAAGTTCGGGTTTTGAGTTGTGCACAACATAGGAATGTTGTATTACTGATAGGATTTTGCACAGAAATCAATGCGAGGATATTAGTCTATGAGTACATATGTAATGGATCCTTAGACCTCTGCTTACATGGTATGGTATTTACTAACTTTTTACATTTGTTTCCATGTTCCCTTTTATATATATATATAATAATTCTTAGGCCTTTTATATCTCTCTATTAATAGTAATACTTTGATGTTTGCATTTCAATGTTCTTTGCAAAAATCCTGATCACATTCAGACTTTATCGTTTGTTGTATATTTAACAGGCAACAAGAGTATACCTTTGGACTGGAACTCACGCTTAAAGATCGCAATTGGAGTTGCACGAGGCTTGCGCTATCTCCATGAAGATTGTAGAGTTGGTTGTATAGTGCACAGAGACATTTGCCCCAAAAATATCCTCTTAACTCATGACTATGAACCTCTGGTAACTTACTGAGCCTCGGCGAAATGCTTACTTCAATTTTATGATGCATGACTGATCAAATACAAATAATAAGTGTTAAAATTAAATCATTTACCATTCATTTAGGTGGCTGATTTCGGGCTTGCTAGATGGCAATCAGAATGGAACATAAATACAGAAGATCGTGTTGTGGGAACTTCAGGGTAATTTTTTGATGCAGGTTAATCAGTCAAGACACAGTATACAAATTAAATTTTTGATTCCAATCAAGCTTACCATGCATGAACCTTACCTAGGTACATTGCACCGGAGTATCTTGTTGCTGGAATTCGTACGTGTAAAGTAGATGTATATGCATTTGGAATTGTTTTATTAGAGTTAATAACTGGTCAAAGAATTCGTGAGTTGGAACAGTTCAATAAACACTCGCATCTTTCTGGATGGTTTCACCCCTCACACATGTTGGACCCCAATCATATCTTACAAAATGTTGGATCTCTCAACCCATGGTTGGATTCTGAAGGGTCACTAGAATTTAATCTTCAATTTCAAGCCATGACACGAGCTGTGTCACTGTGTCTACTTCTGGACCCTGATTCCAGACCCCCAATATCAAAGGTATGAATTATTTATCTTCTTTTATGTAACTTGGTTTGTTATACTAATTTACTTCATGTTTAAATACAATATATTGAAAAATATCTCTTTTTGTAACATGATTGTAGATCCTCAAAGTGCTTGAAGAGGGCAATGCAGTTCGTTCTTTGGGTTTAGACATCAATTCAGTTGGTAACAGAAGTGGTCATTTAAGTGGTTTGAGTTCTCATACTCCTCCTAAAGGTAAAATAAGCCATTGTCGTGCGTTATCACATTGATATCTAACAATGGCTTTTGAACTAGAGAGATTCTGTTTTTGTCAATATGGGTCTGTTTGTCAGTTGCGTGGTAAACGTAGAACGTTCACACAACACAAGCACAGCATTTGGTGTTGAAAAGTCAATATCTCAAACTACTCAAAGAAATAAAGGCTTGTAGGTGATACAATGGGAGGTTAAGACATCATTGCTAAAATTTTAAGAACTCAATTAAAGTTGTGTTACCATTTCCCAATATCATGTGATTTCACAAAGACAGGTTATACTTAAATAGTTCATCCCTATTTTTCTTTTAATGGTTAGATTTTAAGTAATCTTTAAACAATCCATCTTTATGATATTTTATTTTCATCATGCCTGCCTGGATTCAGTACCAAGTGGCCACACTATATACTACAACAAATTATTTGTTTATAAGTTCCATCTGATAAGTTATTTAAGGTATCTGTTAAACAAATTATGTATTGCAATTTTCAACCTAAGATTGCTACAATAGAAAGAAATGTTAAATATTTCTTCAAGATTATGGAACTCATTGTGTAATCCATTATAATGTTAAATATTTCCATGTTCTTTGTAATGAAAACAAATATGACAAAGCTTCTGGAAACCAATGAGTCACTAATTACACAGCTGGACCCACATGTAGTAAATGGAGAGAATAATTCTGTTACTAACAAACTGGAAGTTGCGGAAGCACGTAGAAGTGATAGAGTACGCAAGGAAAGCATCGGGCTCAAGGGATACGTGAAAACATGAGATTTATTTAATGCTTGTAATGAGAATATTGTGAGGCATGTGAGCAGTGATCATTTTGCTATTTCTCTCTCCATAACTCTTGTATGAACTTTGGTTATGTTGTTAAACAAATACATAATTCCCTTCTTTTTCCCATCATTTTACTTCACTGTTACATTGGTTCTTTCATTACACCATGGCCGACACAAAAACAAAGGAAATGCAAGCTGAGATCAAGCGCAATGCAGAGGACCTCAAGCAGTTTCAGGAGGTGATGTTCGAGTGGTTCGAAAGGTTAGAAGCTGGAAACTCTTCCAGATTTGATCGTATGGAGGCGATGCAGATGAGTTATGAGGTCAAGTTTGCTCAAATTCATTATGTGTTTGACATTTTGATCCAACAAACTCCATCCAAAACCAACCATGGTGCTGGACTCATCAAGAAACGTGAAACTCGAATTCCCTCGATTTGATGGTACGAACGTACATGAATGGATCTTCCGCGTGGAACAATTTTTTGACTACTACGATACTCCGGATTCATAACGTTTAACTATTTCATCGGTACATCTTGATAAGGACGTGGTACCATGGTATTAAATGATGCAACGATCTAATCCTTTTCAATTATGGCTTGAGTTTATGCGTGCGTTAGAGTTGGATTTCGGTCCATCTGTTTATGAATTAACACCCCAATTTTATTTATTAGTTTTTATTAGTTATTTACTTTATTAATTATTATGTGATATAGTAATTAATTAAATTGTGTGATTTAGTGAATATATGGATTATTTGAATTAATTTCATATATGTGTTATATGTGTTTTGGGTTGGCAAGTGTGAGAATAGAATTATTGAATAATTGGACCTTGGTGGTGGTTTAGTGTGAGAATGAGATAAACCCTTTAGAGAAAACAAGAGTTAGTAAGGGTTGTTGTAAAACAAAGAGAAATAGAATTAGAAATAAGGAAACAAGAGAAGAGAAGAAAAAAGAGAAAAAAAGAAGAAGAGAAGATAGAACCCTAGAGAATCTACATCCAAGGTAAGAGTGAGTTTTTCACATGGTTATGAGATTAGATAATAACATGTAATAGATAGTAGCATGATTTAGGAATTTTGCTCTTCAATTTCTAGGTTTTGCCATGTTTATGTTGGAATGAGAATCATGAAATTGATGTTGAAAATCATGTTTTGATGTTTGTATTTGATGTTATATGTTAGATATAAGTTATCATATATTTAAATGATAAAAAATGACTGATGGGTGGGTTTTAGTGATCCAATTCGTAGGGGGCAGAAGCTGTCTTCGCTGAATTTTTCCGTGTTCAGTAGAGACCGCTTAGTGCGGTGGAGGCCGCTTAGTGCACCATGGGACTGAAAGTTTTATATTTTGTTTGAATGATTAAGGGTTCTGGGTTGCCTATGATTTATAAAGAATTTCTATGAATTTTAATAATTTATTCGATGTGTTTTAGATTGGTTTTGGATGACTTTTGATGAGAAACATAACACTTGATTTTGTGTATATGTATGTTGCGAATTGATGATGAATGTGAATAACATGGTTTGACATTGTTGCTATATGTTATTGTGATGTGTTGAGTTGATAAATGCTATGAGTATGCATTGTATGTGAGACATGATGTATGAATGTTATGCAATTTGGTGAAGATAATTCAAATACGTTGAATTATGTGAAATATGCTTATATGATTAAGATATGGAGATGGTCTTAATTGCATATATATGTTAAGATTGCACACACAACACGAGTTGTACAGAGGAAATGTTTGTTAGCTTTTGCGAGATTTAGTGACTTGTCTCAAATTTGGAGATGTGGTTTGAAAGCTTGAGAAATGGGCTTTATTTTTGTGGTTATTCGGCTTGGAGATGTGGACCTGGTGATACCGGTAAGGATAAAAATTGGTACCGCATGCATATTGTATTGAGTTACATTTGAATCACATGTGTCGATGTGAAATATTGATTTGGTGTGCAATATGTGATATTGGTGAGAATGTTACATTTGTGTTATTTGTAATTGATTATCTTTGAATCATGAATCGTTGAGCAATGTTGTATATGAGAATATGTGAAGTGAGTTGGAAAATATTGAATACATGAATATGTGAAGTGTGTTGAATTCAATTGTTGTTTATATGTGATGCATTACTTATTATTATATATTTCTATAATGATGTGGATTCTCACCCTTCTGTTAGAATGATATTTTATACGACATCGCTCAGGTACCGGAAATAGTGGAGCTTCTCACGAGGATTAATTGGAGGACATACTTTCTTGTTTATCCGCTTATCTAGGTAGTGGGTCATGCTCTGGTCTATGTAACACGGGAAACATTAGAATTCATGTTTGTTTTGAGAGATGTTTGTTATACTCTCTTTTATTTATGATGTATTGAGATTATGCGATGAGTGGTCTTTAGTGCCTAATATTTTATGATATGATAGTTAGTATGGGATTTCAATCATTAATATTACTATAAAAAAGAATTATTTCCGCTCTGAGATGCATATGTGTTAGTATATGAAACATGCTTTTAAATGCCTTTTATGAGCATGACTAGTGTAATTTTATTGGTTTTTGAAATACATGTGACATTCTCTTGAGATGTGCATGTTAATTTACTCTGATTATGCTATATTATTTTCGTGGGGTTAAGGGGGTGTTACATTAGTGGTATCAGAGCATGGTCAGTCCATCTGCCCAGGTTGTCTAATATTGTTTGCTCCTTAGTACGCGACATGTGTGTGAAACACTGTTGGTACTTGCTTGATTTTCTAACCACTTGATTGCAGGAGTGAGTTTAAAATAAGTGGGGGAAAAGCTTTGTTTCCATGAGATGTTTATAGTTTGAAGAGTTAGACCATGATGCTTAGGTAATTTTGAGCTTAAGATATATGAAGCTATTGTAGTTGGGTAACTGTGGTGTATGCCACTATCATGGTTGTCAGCTACCTATTAAAAAATTGAGGAACTAATCACCCTTAATCTCTTGTTGATAGTAGACTTGATCGTATTGGATGAGATAAACTTGTTTTTCCAGCATGATATTATGTAAAGTGAATAAGTCAGTGCAGGATACCGTTATGTTGTTAACATTGATGGCAACACTGGATATTGGTGGGAAACGAATGATTGGTGAATTAGCAATAGTTCTTGATTTTCCTGAGGTATTTCCTGAAGATGTAAGTGATTTACCTCCAGAGCATGAGGTGGAGTTTACGATCGACTTAGTTCCTGGAACTAGTTCGGTATCGATGGCTCCATATCGGATGTCAGCATCTGAATTGAAAGAGTTAAAAAGGTTAACTTCAGGATTTGCTTAAGAAGAGATTTATTCGTCCTAGTGTGTCATTGTGGGATGCACCAATTTTGTTGGTTAAGAAGTGTGATACGGTTGCAGAACCGACTGTTATACTAGTTTGCGTTTTGCATTTTTTGTTTGCAAAATGTCGCGGTAAGCAAGAGTCGCCACCGACTTTTATTTCATCCAATCATGGAAAAGGAAAAAGAACAAAAAAAACCTTTTTTCGAGATTTTTGAGTACGAGGGGTAGATTATAGAAAGGGAAGTTGTTAGCACCCTTTCTATCCATAGTTTTCCATGGGCTCTTAAGTACTTGCTCATCTTTTTAAAATTTCTTGTGTGTGTGCTTGTTTAGAAAAGTTTTACTTCATGATAACTCTTGCATCAGTCCTCAAGGGTGTGACGAAGTTGTTTTGAAAATTGTTTTGAAAGGTGTTTGTGTGAAAAGTTTTGTTGAGCAAGTACTTAAGATTCTACCCACTCGAAAAAAGATTGTTCGTTCTCGTTTCCTTTAGACAGTGCTATCCTACTATTAAGGAGTAGGTAGCCCCTTCGTTGGAGTTTGTAAGGGACGTTCGAAAGGGATAAGTACAGTCACCAAAGTAATGGGTTGGAAACTTTAGTAGTAACCCTAGAGTCTTAAGATCTTGTAAGTCTCAGAGTGCCTAAGAGGAGGGGGGGGGGGGGTGAATTAGGTCTTATAAAAATTTATTCGGTTTTATGAGAATGCTTGGTAGTAATTTTTGGTTAAGTGTTTGAAGGTTTTGATTATATCTTTATCTTTTCGTGATCATGGTGATGAAAGCGATAAATGCGGAAAAGTAAAGAACACGGTGATATATCCTGGTTCCCCTCACAATCCGAGAGTACTCCAGTCCCCTTTCCAACACGAAAGAGATTTCACTATAGTTAGAATGATTGTACAACCTATGC